TTTCTTATTTTAAAATTAATTAAATGATAGTATTAATGTGAAAATAAGCTTTTAATTGAAATATTAAAAATTGATGTTATTAAATAAAAAAATTAAAAAAATCATAAATTAACATTTTTATTTAAAAACTAATAAAGTTAACTTTTTAAAATAAAAAAATATAAAATTAACATTTTTATTTATACCATTTTTTCTAGTATTAAGTTCCCTCAATTAAAAACAATGGATAAAAATCTTACTTTGCCTTCAAAAATATTTTAAAAAATTTTAAAATAAATAAATCAAATCGTATCAATTTGTACTCACAAGTTGATCCATAATCCATTTGGGTTGACCTATGTTTAATAGGTGATTTATTTGGGTTGAAGGAAGGGGTCACAAATCCAATGTTAACTAAACCTTTTGTCTCACCTCCACCTCAAACCAGACAGGCCCTAATAGTGGGAAGTTCTGGTTACAGGTTTGGGTTTTCCACATGATTCCAACGTTTTTGGGTATAATACGTAATGATCTCAACTTGAATTCTGTGAAAGAAGCAGACCATGGGAAATGCAGCGACGGAAGCAGCTTAAGAATAACCAGGAAACTTTGAAACATGAAGTAGAATATGACCCTTCTCTTCGCTACCGCCTGCTCCCTTTCCATTCCCCGCAACCAGAAACTGCTTAGCAACAGTGTTCTATAACAGTATGATTACAGTTTCACATTCAACATTCCTTGGGCAAGTACTTCAAGGTGCTATGTCAAAATCCCATTCATTGTTTTTTCTCTATTTTTTTTTTCTGGGTTTTCTTTGAATTTTTTTATGTTTAATCTGAAATGGGTACTTTTTTGTAATGCAGGAGAGGAGGTATTTATTAAGGAATTTCCAGAACTAGTTTTTTGTGGAGAAGGTTGCAGGATTTTGGACGTTGGGTGTGGAAACAGGAGTACGGGTCTTCCTATATTCGGGGGGTAACACCAACATTTCCTTATTCTGAATGTCTTCTACTGGTATAAACGTAAGTTTCTCTCATCTAAATAGTTTAGTTTTAGAGAAGGAAAATTAGACTTTGTGAAGTCAGAATTAGTGCTGAAACCTTTTAATTTGATTCCAGTTTAGTGTCAACGAGTTTGACTTCTTTTTGGATTCCATTAATGCATTCCTTTGATTTATCAAGTAATTTTATAGAAAGTTAAGGATTTTTATGAAGCAATTTTATAGAAAAGTTAAGGATTTGACTTATTAGTTTTGTTTAGCTTTAAATGATTTAATTTTCAGATGATTAGAGTATGTTTTTGCAATATCCCATAAATTTTTTTTTTTGGTGCATCTAATAATAATAGGCCCTCTCCTTTCCCTAAATCCCTCTCCATTTGACTCAAGGTTCGAACTTAAAATCTCCAACTTGGAATCTCAAGCTCTTAACCATTGAGCCACCCCCTTGGGGTGCAATATCCCATAATTATTTAACTCATATTTGCAGTTTCTGTGATTGCACTATTTACAGATTTACTCATAAATCACTGTGTTTATGGATAGAATTCTATTTAGATTTTCAACTGAAAATATTGGAAACGACTTGTAATGTTTACAAGATGCATCTTGTAATTAACACTTGATCATGTAATAACCTTGCCTCTTCTCTACTACTCTTATATATGAATTCATTTTTTTTGTAAGGGCTGTGAGAAAATTATTATATATGCTTTCCATTGTAGCAATGCGACCCTTGAAAAGTTCCAAGGGTACTTTGGCTGGGCTTCCAGAGATGCTGACTGCACAATTGCAGTGAAAATTTTCCACAGGATGAGCTCAACCGCTCATCCGTTGCTTTATTTAGTTTTGGTCAACATGATCTTGCCTAATTTACTGGCTTAAAATCTTTATTTTATGCAGAGATGAAAGAACATTTCGAACCTGTCTCAATGATTTATGTTCAATGGAAGAAAACACATGCTGCATTGGTGGGGTGGACTTTGTTACCTTGGTATTCATCATTCTTTCACACTATTAACAGACTCATCAGGTAACTAATTTCAGCCTCTTTTGAACAATACATATAACAGTTCTGACTTTGAATTGCTTCTATTGTTGTATAATGTATCAGATATTTATGCTACCTGCAATACCCTTTCAAAAATGATGCCAATGGCCACGAAAAACTGTTATTCTGTATCAAAGCCTGATGGACTGCTCTTATTTAGAGATTATGTTATTATCAACAAATACCCCATTTGTGTTTTAAGTTAATTTGGAATGTTCAACTTTGGGGATTTGATCCTTGGCTTTAGTTCTTTCTAACCATATTTTGTTGTTTTCAATAAAAGAAGAGATTTAACAGAATGTTTTCAGAATCCATAGATAAAGATTACTAATGTGTCCAGGTCTCTATGACATGACTATGCTCCGTTTTGAGCATGACCAAAGAGTAGGATTCAGGGAATGCTTACGTTCAGATGGCACATCGTCTTATTTCTTCTGTATTTATACAGTTGGGAATCTCCTTGTTGGTGCAGGTTTTATTGAGGTACTTTTCTGTCTATTGAATCATTTAGGACATTGGAACCATATTCAAATCCATTTTCTTTTTACTGCTATATATCATGTTTAATGTTGAATTACAGCTATCCTCCAGCTTGAGATTGAATAGTGTTGAGTCAAGTCACTTGATTGATGAAATGGGATGTGAAGGCTGTGGGTTCATGGAAAGTACCAGAAGCTGCTATGAATTTAGGTGTCAAGGTAACTCTTTCTCAGGAACTGTCTGAAGAAACACAAATACCTATTCTCCTAAGTCCTGACATATATTGTGAAAAAAAATCTCTTTTTGTTAGAATTTCAACAAATTTCTTACTCGTTCAACATTTTTTTTTGAGAAGCTGAAGGAAGTTGGTTACTGAAGATAGCTTATCTGGTTGCCCTTGCCCCTTCTGTCCATATGTTAGTATTTCGTCTCCCCCTTTGCACATAGTAGCTTCAATATAATAATCAATAGAAGATTGAGATGCAATAGGAAAGAAATTTTCATTTGTACTCATCTTAGTTTCCACTTGTCACTTTAAAAAACTATAATTTCTATTTAAGATAATTCATACTATCACAATGATTTTACAATTCTGCTAATGGTAACATTTGATTGCATTACAAGGAGATCAGTATAAGTTATGAGATCCTAAGAATATCACGTTGTTCATAACAATTATCATGGTTAATTCTTCTTAGGAAAAAGGTTTCGCTTCTCTTTTGCCTTCTTGCAGACTTCTGGTGTGTTAAACTTGCTGCTTTAAATGGTGTCCATCAGTCTTCAGAAGGACAATGTCAATCTACATGATGCTAACAGAGTGATATTTTCAGTCAGTAATCTGGCCGAATCTTAACAGATTATGCAGTTTTTCAGATACTCAGTTTTTTGCTTTAAATTGAAAAGAATACCTAATCCCTACAAGATTAACAGGGTATGAATGGGATGAAGATGAAGCATCAGCATCATAACATTTAACAATGCCATTTATCAAAAAAAGAAAAGAAAAGAAAAAGCATTGCCAAACATCTTTTAGGGTAGGAACTGAGGAGCATCGTGACTGCTTTATTATTGTAGTTGTTGTTTTTCCAAATTAAATGCCAAAATATGAGAAGAGTTTGGTCAATCAAATATCAAATTTAGGGCCTTAGATTCTGCTTTTAGGGTAAGGTTTTGATTGCATTTATGTTTTAGTCCAAACTATGAATCTTAAACTTAGCAAATAAAATTTCTCCAATTCTTTGTAACTGGAAGAGATCTGTTAGTGCAATTGGTAAAGATTTATTGAATAATTTGGCATTTATCATTGTTTGTATAATTATTCATGATTGTTGATTCATTTTCACATGTTTGCAGCATATATGCATGCTACTGCTAGCATCCTCAGGAAATGGCTCAAATGCAGAATGGGTGTTTGATTCTCTGGAATCAACAGTCTCTAACTGGCACAAGATTTAGTATACACATGGGCCGGGTCTTTCTGTAGGACAGCAAGGCTGCAACCTAAATTGTGTGGATTGTTTCAGTTCTGCTCGGGTTTAAGGTCCAACTTGCTTCTGACAGTCTCAAGGTACATCATTACATTACCCATTAAATTTTCTGTGGTGGTTACCACGCATGTCCCTCTCTGTGGAAAACACAAGGGGGACAAATTTCGAACTATCTTTTCTTGTTTTACAATCAGGTGGTGTCTTGAACCAAAGTACCAAACAAAGGCTTTAACCCCATGTTTGGATCATGAGAAATGAGAGGAAAGAAAGGGAAAGAAACAATTCTTAACC